TCTCAAGACAACAACAACACAAGCCAACAACAACAACAATCTCCAAATAATCACATTTGCCACCAATACAAACAACATAGTAGCTATTTGCTCAAACAAATAAAATATATAAGGACACAAAAAAATTATGTAGTTCAGTCAAAGACCTACATTCACAGTAAGACATCGAACATGTTTTATTAAGCAATTGTATAAGAATACATAACTATAAATCTAAAGAGAGAACACTACAACATGCAATTCTTCCTCCCTTTTCTCCCTTTGGTGATAATAAAAGTTCTCCAACAAACAAATAAAAATACAACATGTTTTCATTCTTCCACACTTTTCATGTATGCTAAAAACCGAATCACATTTGAAAGCCTAACATAAAGCACAAAGTCTCGCATATGCATATGAACAATAAACCAAAAGCAGATACAACCAGTAAATTCGGATCCTTGTATCAGAAAGACCAAGGATGCATTAGCAGATCCCTGTATCGGAAAGACCAAGCAAACATTGTCATTATGTATGTACTTAACTTCTCAATGCTATAACCATGGTCATTCTTAACATAAACCGAAATGATAAGTGTATGGAATCCTCTCGATGACAAGGTAGATATAGGTTTGAAACATTAGAAATACAAGTTAACTTCCCAATGCTATAACAATTACAATATCGTAATAATTTGAGATGCATTTTCATGAACCAAGCCTCAATCTTCAATTATATAACCAAATGACTATGGAATCCTCTCAATGACAAGGTAGATATAGGTTTGAAACATTAGAAATACAAAGCTATTAAGCTACCATTGGAGAATAAACAATATCGTAATGATTTGAGATGCATTTTCATGAACCAAGCCACAATCTTCAATGTATAACCAAATCAAAATTTCCTTATTTTAACGAATTCAAACAAGATGCACATGTCTCATTTGGTCATACATTTTACAAATAACCAAATCAACTTCCATAGCTTGCATCAAAGTCATAATCCATACCAAAGACGATGACATACCAATGAGGATTGCAATGAATACGTAGATATGCAGCTCATAAACAAGAATTAATAGCAGCATTTTCATGAACCAAGCTCGTACCTATATTTCCTATAAACAGGAATTAATTGCAGCCCATAAACAGCAGCTCATAAACTTGAAAAACAAGGATTAATAGCAGCTCATAGACAGCTCTTAAGCCTTTCCTTCCTTCTATAAGGAGCTCACAAAGTATTCCTAACTCCATGAAAAAATCCTTTCTTTTTGACTTGAAATAAAAAGAAGGAAATCATTGTCCTTCGGTCATCCAACAACAGGAAAAAATCGAATCAAGCAGCAAAAAAATGAAACAAGCAGCAAAAATCAAAACGAAATTCGGCCCCCATATAAGGAAACCATTCTCCATACTTTTCTTCACGGCCAGCAAAAAACGAAAGGAATTCTAGGGCAAAGAACCATTCGCATTGTTCCAGTTGAAAACAAACGAAGAAGATGAAAATCCTTTCTCTTTGGTCAAGGAAGAAAAAAAAAACAATGAACAACGACGTTCGATCATCTACAAAGAACCATTCACTTCCACCAACGTTCGATCGCTCTAGGGGAAGCATTCCTTACGAATTGACGGTGAGGGAAAACATACCTTACGAATCACAAAGAAAAATCGAGAGGAAGACGGTCTGAGATCGGCTAGGGTGACGAATCCAGGGAGGGAGAGCACGGGGGAGATCAGGGGTATCTATGGCAATGATAAAAGCTAAACGCGGGACGCGGCCCTTCATCCGCGTCGGAGAACCCTTAAGAAAGTCCAATACGCTAACGCACTGCGGTAGGATTAATTCACTCGAATGAGAACTCCAAACACCTAAATAAGCTGCCCCAAACGGGCTCTAAGAGTCTCCTCACCTTCTCTCTCTTCCTCTAGCGGACCACATACTGTGAGGCACGCCGCAAAAAAGCTAGTAATGGACCAATCGATCCAAGTAAATTTAATTTTTCAAACATTATTTAATTTCTTCATTTATTTGTTTAAATGAAGATCAAAAATTGAAAACCAAAATTAAAAATTTTAAAATAAAAATCGGATTGTCATTTCAAAATCACACTAAATCAGCCAAATATGACATGTTCAGTTCAATTTTTTGGTCTTGGCTAAGTAATGTATACCATTAATAACACAATAAAATATTTCAATACCAATCATTAAAAATAAATGAGGCATTCAAGAATATGATTGGCAAGGGCATCAAATTTATGACTCATATAATTAAGTTATGTTAGATGACAATGGAGCACAAGATGAGAAATCTTTTTGGCCTTAAAAAATTAATTTGATTTTTACGCCACGAAGTAAAGCTTTCAATAAAAAAGTGTAGAAATCAATAAAAGAATCCTCAAAAGATGTTTTTGATCTTCTGAAGGCATATAAATAGTTGCAAGAGAAAAAAAAAAATATTTCATGAGCATTAAAGAAGGTCTCCAATATGTGTTGCACAACAAATACTATCATCTTTAGAAGTTGCTATGGAATAATTGAAATTTTTTCAATCATTGTAAAACTATATAAATAATCAATATTAAGTTCAAAATTTTATTATAGAGATATTTAGAAAAGATATTAAAATTAAGGCGCCTTTATGTATGTGATTTGTAACCAACACATTTTGATAGGTGGGACATCATTTGAAGTGAAAATTTTAAATAATACAAAAATTACATTATCGAATATAAGAAGCAAAATATTAATGGAAAAATCACTAGATAAATGATATTTAATTTTAGGGATGTTAAATATGCACTAACAACTCAATGGTGTTTGCAAATCATGTATAAAAAACATGTAAAATGTTCAAATTTCTTGAATCTATTATAAGAAAAAGTTCATTGATCACAAGATAGAAGTGCATTAGTAATAATATGCAATAAGAAAATATCAAGAAAATTTTAAGTAAATTTTGTTAAATTGCAATTAAATAATTCATTCCACGTGGCTTCGTGTGTAGAGCAACAAATGAGTAACAACAAAAAAATAAGCTAGGTGTGACCAAAACTATTGCTTGGATGGACATTTCAAAAAATTAGGAAAAATAAAGCAATGATTGATTTTGTTAAAGCAACAATGATAGTATTACTATTGACTTAAGTGGTATAAGAAAGAATATCAAAGGAAGACAATTCACTAATAAATTTGATACGTAGACTGATATGAATAAAATGAAATGAATGCAATGAATGCAATGATAATACATGTGGAGAAAATGACTAGATATAATATGCAAGTACTAAAAAATAGAGTTAGCACATCATCTAACATTATGAATGAATGGAGGATGATTCATGAAATCGGCCAAAAATAGTGAAGATGCGGCTAATGATAAAGATGATGCTAGTTGTAAAATGTGGAACCCTATAAGTTATTTCAAAACATCAATATCTTCAAAATTGAAAGTTTCTTTAAACTATAAATAGTTAACAATAGTACTTGAATGATAACATTAATCCTTAAAGCTCTATGACATCAATGACATTGAAAATCAACTTTATTAGCATCATAATTATGAGTATTGCAATAATTAAGGGCATTATTGATACATTTTTAGCATTCATTCCTATTCAGGGCTGCATGTATCAATAAGGTTGTCTAAAATTAATCCTTTAAACAATTCTTATCATTTTAACATGGATCATTCCTATTTTCTTAATTAGTATTTTCACAAGAATTTTGTCAACCGCCTAATTGTTACTTATTCCTCTCAATAGTACATGCCCAAATTATTGATTTATTGTTTAAAATTTTCTTAAATAGATGTGACACTTTCATTCTCTAATATGGATTTCAAACAATACCATCTGGCATTTACAAGATATACTCATATGCCATCTAATTTACTACACTAAATTTGGTAAGTATTGAGGCCATATCCTGATACATATTTTGATATTTAGAATCAATCTTTTAGGAGAATTAAAGTAATAGGTATGATGTCTATCTATATTAGCATGTTAAGCAATGACATAGTATTTGTATACCTATGTGGGCATTGATCACCCATAGTTTAGGCAAAACCCAACGACAAAACTGATTTAGTTGCCCCATGCAACTGGCCATTTCTGGAGATTGCAGTAGTACCACAATCTCCTCGAGGGATCCAACAAACCATCTTAAATTTGGGCTTTTCCAGTGCGACAGTAAACCGCTGCCAAATGGCATCTACCAAAATTCTGCGAGCCAGTCGGCGTCCCATTAAATTTGGGCTTTTCCCAAGCTTGGTGTCTATCTATATTATCATGCTATAACCACGCACAGAGCTTTTTTACCTATAGCAACTGCCTCCCTGGCCAATTGAATAGATTGGAATGCCATCACAGTCTAGCTAGCTACTATCGCCCGCACTGCACTTGCTCTATCTCCAAGGCAATCAATCATTGAGCCATGCTTCTACTGCCCAGGCTGTTCATCTACCTCTCTCCCCTACCTAACTGGCATCTCTTAGGAGGGCCCAGATTGAATCCAACTCCTTCCCCCTCCTCTCCTGAGTCAAAAAGTATCTTAAGCCAAAGGGCTACTCCACCTTCGGCAATCTCCTGGCCACGATTATCCATTGTAGGCCGTTCACACCAGCCCTTCAGATTTGTGAATAAATCAACCTTGATAACCATACGGCTACAGAACATAAATGATTTCAACACGATAAATGCCATTCCAAGCTCTTTTTCCGACTCAGCCTTCAGTCCATTCACTCCACTTATATCTAACCCCAAAACCATCAAAAGTGTAAAGATTTGATAAGGACCTCATGTCTCCCCAATCGAATCGACACCTCAAATACAATCATAATACGAAACCCTTGCACCCAAAAACTGAAACCATCCACGCTTGGGCATTGTTTAGACCAACAATCCATCAGCAAACCAAAATTAATCCAAAAATTTTGATGAATTCTTCACAAAATAAGAGAAGGAAGCTATTCTAATAACCCATCGAAGAATAAAAAATTGAGCTCCATATGCTTACTTGACGAGCGAGAGAAGACGCTTCTCCGCGGCGATGATGTGGTCGGTGGAGGTGGGAACCCACCGCAGGACGCTCGGCCATGCCCACTTCGACGAACTCGCCACCGCTGTCTCCGACGCCACCGCTCGGCTAACCTCTTCCGCCATCTTCGCAGTAACAGTCCTGTGCATCACACGGGTAGCCACGTCTTGCTTGCAAGAGGGGTCAAGCTTTTATCATGCCACACGTCTCAAAGGAGTCGGGAGGAGAATGAGAAAGGAGAGAACTTGTAACCAACTAAATACCGAGCAACGGATGACGAACGTGCCTACGTCTGCGCCGATTTGCAGGCGTGAAACTTCCGTTGAAGAAACCCGATATTTCGGGTGTATTAAAGTAGTGGAATAATGGGTTAGTATTGATGGGTGTTCTTCAATGGTATCAATCATAATTATAATATATGACCTAGGATTAAAAAAACCCATGATTGAATAAGCTTTAATTGATGACTATCAAATTAAAAATTGTATGATAAAAAAGAAACTACATAGACCAATGAAGATCGAGTCGTTCTGAGCTGTCTATTAGCAGAAGATGATCGAACTGATGAATCTAGAAGTGAATTACACAATATTAACCTGGAGAATCAGGTGATCATACAAAAGCCAAATAAGGCACTCATAGGCCGAATACGAAAGATTGGGTGCGAGAGGCTGAGCACGTGAACTACCAGGTGACAAGAATCTTCAATTTCTGTAAAGGAGTTAATCAAGAGAGGGTCTCACCAAGATGTCAGTCTTAACGGGAATATGATTATTAAAGGCACTTGTATGTCTAGAGATCTAGGGGTAATATAGGTCTAAACATGTCATTTTATGGAGGCCAAAGCCTATAAATAATGAGCACTAAATGTAAAACAGATTTAAATTTTTAGTCCTGAGCTAATAAAAAAGTTGAATGCTACATAAATAATTATATAGGCTTTGAGAAAAAAAAATATATAACTGCATGAAAATTTCATGAAATTGGAGCCATGTACATTAACTTCGTGCATCATAATTGGGGTAGCGCAATTAGGAGAGTTCAACTTCAAACCAAGAAAAGTGTAGCTTATATAGAACTTTAACTTAGAAAAAAAAAATTTAATAAGCATTTTATTTAAATTATTTAAGCATCAAGTGTAAAATTGTATATTTTTGCATGTATATATGCTGAGAATTGTTGAAGGGTGAAAATCTAAATTCCATATTTTATATTTTTGGAATTTTAAGATTTAGGAATTTTGGTCTTCAATTATAATGGGAAAATTATCCAAATTAAATTAAATATAATTATTTGCAGAAATAGTTTATATATCATTTAATTTGGTTGGCCAAGGGGAGTTGGAGCCATGCAAGGTCTTTTTAGAAGAGGTGACCAATGAGTCAAGGAGGTTATATAGCTAGCCCCATTGAGTTTGTTACATGGTCAGCCTATACCTATTCATTTAATTTCTCATTTTCAAAATATCATATTAAATATAATAACTATTTAATAATATTAATTGCTGCGGAATGATGTTTTTTTTTTTTTTTTGTTGTTTGATAAAAAATATTTGAGTTAAATTCTAAGTGTGATGATTATTGATGTCTTGTCATAGTAATTAGAGATTTTGCAATCTCTCCAACCTAACTTACTTAGGTGAGTGATTAGGTTCATGTGTTTCTATTTTTTTTTCCTTTTTTAGATTGTTTTGAATTCCTTTGGCATCTCTTTCTCAATTCACAAAACTAAATCTCTAACAAAAATTACCACAAAAAGCCCATTAAAATCTTGTAAAAGTGGTTAACCAAGTACTTGAGAAATCATATATAATATAGTTATCAAAATTAATTGTAGGTTCTACAATTACTTAGAAATCTTAAGAAACTCGAGATATATTCCATAAACACTATTTCTATAACAAAGTTTTTCTTCTATGGTTTTGTTGCATTAAGTTAGTCCGCTAAAGCCATAAACTCAAATAAATTCAATATGGACATATTAGAATATCTTGGAACCCATTATAAATTTGGAAAAAGAAATATTTAGAAATTTCTAAAAATTTTGAAACTCTACAGACTACTATTGGAACTCTTAACCCTAACATGCACATTTTATTTTAAAATCTCGAGTTCTTTTACTTTTATCTTAATTTTAAAATCAAACTGGTTGTTATTATGTTAGTTTATTATAGTCTATTCTACGACTTTGGTCTACTATTTATGGTCAATTATTTTAAAGTATAAAAAAATGGATATTTTTTCCACTATAAGTATTATCCACCTTACTATAAAATTTATATATGTTAGATCATATATGAGGCCACCTCTTTTAAATGTCGCCCCTTTCATGTGACGTGCTTTAGATCTCTTTGATCTTTAGAACGGGGTTGTTGTGGCAACCCCGACAAAGCCATACGGTAACTGGAGACTTTACCCTCTGCACTTAAATGTTGGTTAGAATAATATTCGTTAGATGGTGTGTGAGGTTAGGACTAGGATGCTAGCTAGTATTTTTTATATCTCTGGCTATAGTTCTCTGTTGTCTTGTTTGTTCTAGTCAAGCATAACTTTTGTGCTTTTAGTGTGCTTGTGTGTGTTGATTTTTGATATGCATGGTAGAAAAGGCATGCTCATACCTAGAAGACTGTCAACTACTTGTTGTTACATCCTCTCTATGTACAAAGCCACATTTTCCTTCTCGTGATCGGTCTGCATGACATTAGAGACTTGCCACTCTGCCTTAGTCATCCTTCCTTACTTGTTAGAAGCAACATCTTGTTGAACATTCCAGATATTGTCAAATATTTAAGATGACCTTTGCGATCTTATCAGCCTCTCACTGCACCTCAAGCCAAACTTTTGCCTTGATCTTCAGAAAGGAGATGTCATTCTAGGTTATTGGGATCGACAACCATTCTTCTAGATAGTAAAACAGAGCTTCAGCTTCCAATCATTTATCATATTTTTAAGGTGGCAAAAATAAAAGTAATCCATGAAAAAAATTGGACATATTCACCGATGTATAACCAAAATGAGAACATATATTTGAAAAGTTTGATTGACAAATTGATGCCCCTCTTACGGTGAAGACCACAAACACCATTATCACATATATTGAATTTCGTATCACTTGAGCGGGGACGACCCCATAATAAATAAAAATATCACACAACTTATCACACAATAGGAACTGGAGGCCAAATCAAAACTATTATAGATAAATCACCAACTCATTCTTCTTCACAATATTTGCCCTCCCTTGAAAATTGCAGACCTTGAAAAGGATGGAGGGGTCGTTGATGTGGTTTTAATGATATCCCAACACCATGGCTTGAGACATTTTAGATGGTATGGAAAGAGGATTTGTTATGGAATCAAGAAAGAATGACGATATGGAACACGAGGAGTCGCTTCCTTGCGATGGGGAGTCATTTCTCAAGTAGAAGAAGGTGAGAAAACTTGAGAGAAAAGGTTACAGAAGAAAGGAAAGTATCTCCACAATCATGACACCTCTTTTTATAGATTTGATGTGAATCAAAACCATTACAGGGCAAAATTGGAAGTGTTCACCTAGAATAACTCAAATTGAAAAGACTAGTGCGAAGACTAAGAAAACTATCATTTCCTTGAATAACATCATTTACATGATCATTACATACATCTGACTCAACAAGGAGGAAGAAAGAAGCTTATAATTCACCTTAGTAGAGACTTGTCGTAGCCAAACCAACATCCAAAATAGAAATTCACCACCAAACCAAAACTAACCTTAACCTATCAGACTTAGTCCAGACTTGGAAGGTCCAAAACAAGAAAGAGAGAGGAGTGCTTGACTAAGGTTAATCAAGAGGAGTTGGCTATGTTACCCTCTTTGGCAGGCTGATAATTTCCCCTACATGTTGCTTTCCAACCTTGACCTACGTCGCAGGAGCTCCATCTAAACCCAACCGAGTCTCTTCAACTACTATATCAAAAAAGAATGATAAAATTGTTAAAAATTCAACAACCAAAGACTATTCTGACAAAGAGAAAAAAACTGGCCCGCGGATCTAATCGACTGAGACATAGCGAGGTTCTTAGGATGAAGTCACGTGAACGATGAAGGATCGACAAGCACCAAAAAGGTTTGGCCCCCTGTCGTATAAGGGGCCACTACGAGGACCGTTGTCAGAGCTAGGACAGATGATTGCATGTTTGCAGTCGTGGCCACGAACTGGACTTTTCTAGAGTCGCCCCAAAAGAGCCACCCTACTCAGAAGGCAAGCCATTCCTCTTCTTTTTCACATGTTTTCTCTTCCAATCAAGCTCATGGGTCAGGACATTTCTTTCTTTTCTCTCTAGCTAATAAGCACAAAATAAATCTTTACTCAGAATGGTGGCTTGGGGCTCTAGAGCACATCCATCATAGGACACTTTTTTGCAAAGACACAGATGAAAGGGAGCACAAGGAAAGCAAATTTAGAAAGGTTTCATTCCCTATTTATTAGAAGTCACTAACACAAAAAACAAGGAAGTATCAATTATTAAAAGTTAATTATTAAGATTCAACTTTTGCCGGATTTAGTTCTCCCATTGTTCTTGCAACTTGTAGCCTCCTAATATACAAGAGAATTGGGGAACTAAAAATGTATGATCAAAGTACGTTAAATCGGATCAAGCGGCCTTGGACGGGGTCTAAAAGTCAATCTCGACTAGGGACAAAAAATATTAGTCAGTATGGAGTGAACGGTCCAACCGACCGGGCCAAAAAGCCCAACCAAATGATTAGACAAATGACTCGCTAATCTAAGAGTAAGTGGGCTGGAGATTCAACATGTAACAATTTGTTCATAGCAATAGTTATTTTGACACTTATAGCGACTGACTTGAGATAGAGAATATCAAGGACATTATTGATATTTCACAATGTAACTTCTAACTACTATGAATATGAAAAAATTGACATGTGAGGGAGAACTTCTTTGGGAGATGGCATGTGAATATATTATTACACTTCCAAGGCTCTCTCTCTCTCTCTTTCTCCTTCTTTCTTTTACGCCATGTTCCTTTGGTGTGATTTACAAATAAATCTGAGCTCAATAATAATATTAATGTAGTAACTTTTATGATAATTATTTACTTATTATTATCTTAAGATAATAACAGAATTAAAGCATAAGAAAAATTTATAAAAATCATATTAAAATTTAATAAATTAAACTGATATTTGTTAAGAAAATATTGCTAAATTTATAAAACTAATCACAAAAAATTCTAATAATTGTAGAAGATTTAATGCTCCGCGCCGTTTCAGTGGTAGGCGGCTTCGGCGGGCTTTACGTTTTGGGCTCGCCACAGC